GTTCTAGTTCCATGTGCCATGTCTAATGGATGTCAGTTATCAGATATCTCCTGTTGATTCACCTCTCCAAGTTATCTACTGCCTTAACCAGGTATTGAACTCACAACTCTTTGGGTCCTCTCACTGGATCTAACTAACGGCTTTATCCACTGTGCCATGTGTCCTTAAGCAACACAGATGAGGACAATAGTCCCAAATAATGTAAATAGTGTACATAATACCTCGTCTCAGAAATATGGACCGATACACACACACACACACGTATATATACAAGGTGACCATAAATTTCGTGTGCACGTTATTTTATAACTTTATTTGTATATGCGATAGAAATAATCTGTAAAAAATGTTATAAAGTTTAATGTACCTAGTTTTAAGTATAGCTAAAATAACTAATGTGATTTCAGGCATTACTGTTAATCAGTTGGCAAATGTTTTCCGTGAACTGCAAAATCGTATTACCCTTTGTATTGCTAATGATGGAGGACACGTGGAAACTTAAATAAAATTTCAATAAAACTTTTGAAAAAAATATAGATTTACTTCTTTCTAATCCATTTTACAAATTATTTCTATCCCAAATACAAATAAAGTAATAAATTTTTTAAAGTGCACACGAACTTTATGGACACCCTGTATGTACATATATATATATATATATATATATATATATATATATATATATATATATATATATTAAGAAATGGACAAAGTCCGACAATTTATTTATTAAAGACATTTTTATGTTTGACGTTCTTTTTATAGATACAAGTATTTAAGTAAATGCTCTGTTTATAATAAACAGTATTAAATAACATTTACCGGCCTGAATGTCCGAGAAAGGACGAATATTTTCTATGAAAATTTCTCGGACATTCAGGCCAGTAAATGTTATTTAATACTGTTTATTATTAACAAACATTAAAATACTTGTATCTATAAAAAGAACGTTAAACATAAAATGTCTTTAATATATATATATATATATATATATATATATATATATATATATATATATAAAAATTCATTCGAAGATTTCGTTCAACTTTCGCGCAAGTTCAGTTGTGATATTTCATAGATGATACAGGCTTATTATAAATTGCTACTTCTCTCGGAAAACGAATACAGTAATTTCTTCTATAGTCCATGTTAAAGAGAAACACACGTTTCAAGCTCGAGTATATTTCAACTCGTTTGAGGTGTCATGCAAGCAGAATGATCATCCGGCAAGACACGTGACTCACATGGCGATTAATCACGAGAAAACTTACGCTGACGTTTATATATATATTAGATACATATATTACAGATGCAGGTAACATAATGATAAAGAAAAAGAAATGATTTGACACAAGAATATTTTCAGCTGAATTTCTGGGATGAGGCGTTATCATTATTATTTATGTTTTTTACGTGCTGACTATTGTCCTCATCTTTGTTGCTGTCATTACAACCTCCCGGCCTTTTATTTTATTAGAGAAACTATTTCTACAGCCGAAATGTGCCTTTACCAGTTCAGCCATTGAAACCTTGCTCTATCAAGACGGAGTCCATAGACAGAAAAGGCTTCCCTGATGAAAAAATGGATACAGGTTCGATTTCTGTCAGAGCCACAACCTTTCTTTAGTAGGACCTCTCAGTCTAAGCCGGTTGTTATTAATGTTGTTGTAAAAAAAAGCAATATATATATATATATATAGAGAGAGAGAGGTTTCTAAATAATGAAAATTTATTAGACCATAGATATGAGTGAACGGCTTTTTGCCGACATCAACAAATCTTCGCATTAAATAATTAGCATAAAAAAAAATTAAATTTCATAGTCGGATAAAAGGTTTAAATGAACACCCCGACCCCAACTCGGCTTGACCTCTTTCCGAAGTTGATGATAGGTGGATAAAAATTGTTTTAGGCCCCTTAACAGAATGGTCGCCCTAACCGTTTCCATAGTAATTAATTTTGCGAATAAATATGCTTATAAAGACGCATAAATTTCAAGATTAGCTATTTCTAAATTTTCGCTTGAGGATGAAACAGGGCTTGATACTTTAATTCAATTTAATTTGAATAATTATATTGAGGTTTTCAGCTCTCGTTTTTAAAACATGAGAACTCTTATGTAGCGAAGGAATCATATTTTTTAAATAATTATAATATATATATATATATATATATATATATATATATATATATATATATATATATATTATTAAAAAATAATTAAAATAATTGTCAGACTTCATGGAAGATTGAAGTTTAAAAGACAGTAAATTCGACCTTGCTAACCGAACGTTCCTCTGTGGCCAAATCGGTTAAAGTCACTAAATGACGGTTCCGTATAGGATACAGGTTTCTATGAAAATTTCTCGGACATTCCAGCCGGTAAATGTTGTTTAATACTGTTTATTATAAACAGAGCATTTACTTAAATATCTGTATCTATAAAAAGAATGTATAAACCTAAAAAATGTCTCAAAATAATTGTCGGACTTTGTCCATTTCATAATGTGTCACGTCATTTGTTTACATTTGGATACGCGAGAGATTCATAGAAGATTGAAGTTTAAAGACAGTAAATTCGACCTTGCTAACCGAACGCTCCTCTGTGGCCAAA